GCAGATGGGGAAGGAAGAGAGACTTGTGGAGGAGCAAGGCTCCAAAACCCCCACAAACTTAATTCTGTGGGCTTCCAAAGTGACATTGTGAGCAGGAGGACAAATTTTCCTACGTTTTGATGTCAAAATGATGTCTGTGGCATAAAAATTGTGGCCAGGGCGACAAGTTAAAAAAAGTTTACTGTGTGAGATTTTTCTGAGCTCCCACTCTAGTGATGTCATCACTCACTCTAAAGGACCACATACACACCCATTGTAAAGGCTGAAAAAGTTTCAAAACTTGAGAGGCTGTCACGAAGAAACGATTGAAGATATGAAAACAGTAGAAACACTTTGAAATAGGGGTCGGACGTGTCAACATTTTAAAGTTGAAATGGAGTCTCTAGGTGAAAGTATGCCTGAGCAGTGGAGGTTTGAAAAGTAGTGTAACTTTGTGTGGTCCGTCCCATTCATTTTCAATGGGAGATTTTTGCGACATTTCTGCAAATTGCGTGGCGAAAAATGCGATTTTTGTAAATCTGTATGTGAGCACACTATTCCCGATCGAGCCGCACGTTTTGATGTATAATTTGTGTGGGTGCTCTCAAATCTGTGGGAGGAGTAGGCCATCGAAATTTTGTACGGAAGATCGGAAATAAGAAAAAGCGCACCAGGATAACAATAGTGGCCTCGGGTTCAGCACGTGACAATAAAAACACGCAGGATAACAATAGTGACCTCGGCCTTGTACTCTGTACAAGTAGGGCCTCGTGCTCAGCCCGTGGCACTAATTAAAATGAATGCTGTTACTGATCCTTATGGAGCGTATATAAACTTTCACCTCTGTTGTAAAGATAACACTCTCTAGTTTTAGCCAGAGCAATCAGAATCATTCTAGGTGCTACCTGTAAAAAGTTATTCTATTTCAATCATCACAGAAAAAAATATTTTTTTGATCCTCGCCTAAGTTTTTTCTTGAAAATAAAGGAGCATAAAGCAGCATTAGGTGGTGGGAACTAAAACACATTGTGTGCCAATAGAAAAACTTGTATTGCTCTCATATTTCAGAACTGAAAACAATATCTGTAAGTCTGATAATCTGACACCAGTTTTTATACTGGTATGTTCATCAGTTTTATTGAGGGACTGTTGTATAACAATAACAGCATTCATTTTAATTTGGAGATGTCATTGTTCAGGCGGCTGCACTGAAATGACCCGGAATGGTAAGGGGTTAAACAAAACATTCAATTTTTAACTACTATTGGAGTGTAAAACAACAAAACAACTGAAGTCGAAAACACAATTAGAGACTAAATTAATAAAGAAAAAAATAATAATTAAGTCCAAAATACAATTGGATACCAAACTNCCCTAGTTTAAACAATCAGCTCTCTGAAAGTAGAAAACCACTGGTTTCACTGACAAATCCCAGACTGTTATAATAAAAGGAAAACAAAACTCATTGTATTTATATATTGAAAATAATCAGATGTCTTCTGGTTCTCTGGTCACTTCCTTCACTGTGACTTTGAAACACATAAGCAAAAATGTATTCAGGGTTCATCACATTTCCAACCACATCTATTTATCTAACAAACATAAAATATTTATGATCACATAAACAGTAATCACTCAGTCTTCTATCATGAGATGCAAAATTTACCAGCTCTGTTTTATCCATTTCTTCTGGCAAAATCAGGCCGAATCTATTTTAGATCGCGCTGAAAATGCTACAGGCAGCCAGACGGGGGTATTAGCTTTAGATTGACACCTAGTTTGGCCAATACGAGGGCTTTGGTGGGTGACTGACAGCCTGAAGAGCCAATGGAGTGTCTCAGACAGTCAACCGGTACGCACAAGTCCCACCCTTGTAGTGTCAACCAGTCGGGTTGCAGACACTCTCTGACGCTGTAAACTTGTAGCCAATGAGCAGACGAACACGTGGATTTATAGGAAGGCAGGATTGTTTGTGTGTGTGGCGGCTGTGGAAGCCGCGCATAGCGGCTCATGAGAAGTGGTGCGTAAAGGGTGCGTCATGCGCCAGTCCCTCATCTGGCTTGTTGTGGGATAGTGTGGGGATAGTTTTGGGGCACGAAAACACGGCAAAACATACAGAAAAGAGAAAATACACAACAGGGGAAGTCGTGGAGGCTGCACAAGTCGAGACAGCAGCATTTCGTTAGCCTCATAGCATAATTGCTAAGTCATTTCTTGGTCAAATTGAGATATTTGCCTAACTTTACTCTCCTATCACTTCTGCATCATCCTGTCCGTCTACCTATGTCATTGGCCAATCACAACATTTATTAGAATCCAAAAACACTATCTGCCAAGGTCATTCATTTGACTTGGGCAGTTTTGACACAAGCAAAATGGCAACACAAAAAGAAGCGGCTGACCAGAGACAAAGTCTTAGCTCTTCTCTTTGATTTGTTTTCATCTGGTAACAGTTCTGTTATGACCCTGTGGTTCATCTATAGTGTTTTTGTGTTTTGCTGCTTGTTTTCTCTCCTCAGTGTGTGTGTGCGTGTGTGGTTTATGAATGAATGGATTCGGAGCAGGTGGTGACTATGGATTGGCTGTCTTGCCGGCTGCCTCGCCTGATTCCAGCCACTTAATTGGTCAGAAGGCGGGCCCATCCACTATTTGAACAGCCCGCCAGCTGCACTCGTTCTCCTCACCTACAGCCTCGCCACCTCAGAGAAAGCCAGCATGCCATCGCGACTGTGTTGCAGGAGGATGCAGCAGTAACTTGGTTGTAGTCGTAGCCGTGTGCTACAGGTTCCGTGTCTTTTTGTGAATCTTGTAAATATTGTAGATGGAGAGCAGAGTAGGGGGAGAGGCCTTTTTCTTTTAAACCCTTTTTCTCCTGTTTTTTGTTTATCAGGTAGGTAGTTAAGATATTGTCTTTTATTTGCTTTTTCTTTTTCAACAGGGAAGTCAGGGCTTATGTAGAGTATGTTTTGTTTGTTATTTTGGCCTACGTCCCCCTCTTTATTGTAAAAAATAAAAGTAACTGCTCATTTTGATACTTGGCTTGTCTTGTTGTTG